TCTTGAAATATGTTTCTGAAGAATTTGTTGTTTATACAAGGCCATTACATGTTTATTTTTACTCAGCCAAATGCTTTTCTTTATTGCCCTTCATGTTAATGGCATTTCAGAAAGAATATACTTTTATGAATAACTCTTATCTTCATATTTTCGGCACAGTATAATGATATAGCTATATATTTTTAAAGTTAAATAGAAAACTTTTTTTTTTATTAAAAAAGGATTTATATATATAATGTGCACTTATTGAACATAAATATAGTAGTTATTGGAGTCTTCACATCTCTATTTCTCTATTTCTGTATTTATAAAGTACTTGGTATGTTTTTAAACACCGCGTATAAAAATTGTTGTTCAAGTGAATGTATGTAGTGCACAACTACATGTGTATTGTGAAATAGTATCAGTGTGAACAAAAATAAAATGCAGCTACTAGAAACACAACCTTGCGGTGTTAAAGTACCACATTCAGCAACATACTTGGAACAAAGTGAATCATATAAATGAAAGCTCTGCATCAAAATATAGCAGCAATGCTGGAAGTATCTGGTGGATAGAAGAACAATTGCTGGCTAACTATAACTACACTAATGGAATCAATTTGAGTGAATGGTTAGTGAAAAGCACTAATTTCAGTATGTTACACTAATGTATTGAGGAGTAATGGTCATAGTTTAGAAGTTTATTGTTCCATTGTTATTAAAACCTTGTCTTTGGTCTGTCTCTTAAACTTGTTTGGCAGCAATAAGATTTGGCATAGCACACATCCTCTCAGTTAATATACTGAGCATTACAAGAAGAAAAGCTGAATCCTGCAGAGATTGCATTTGTAATCCCACTTTAGGTAGAGAGATTTACAGATATGCATAGGTTACCTCAGACATCCATAGATTACTTTTACTGGGGGGGCGAGGAATAAGTAATCATATAAAAAAGTATTAAAGACTCACTCATTTGCTCTGTGTTGAATTAGCACATTACACTACTGATTTTTGTACTTTATAAGTTTCTATGAAGTTACTGATAGCAGTAGTGTACAAAAAGAAAAATACTGCTAGTTTCCACAACATTCTCTGCCTGTGTTTAAAGGACAGCGTGTGAAAGCGTGATGTCTCATGTGAACAGCCTGTGGAATTCAGCTTTAACATTATGGTTTACTTGCTTTTTCATTTTGTCTGAAGGAAGCCTTCTTGAGTAATGCCATACATGTGAGACTCCATCTGGCTCTTCCCTAGTTTGAGTAGGGCCGAGGTCAGGAAAATGGTGCAATGCAGTGCTCTCTTAAGAGGTAAAAATAAATTAAAATAAAAAATAAAATGCAGTGAGGGGGTAGGTTAGTAACAGCCTTTAGTGCAAAGTGCTTCAGGGAACTAGTTTGAATGTGAAGGAATGGCCCAGTGGGAATGAAAGCCATCTAGTATTTTCATGTCATTCCGATTTCTTGAGGGTTTTGTTTCTTACTGTCTTCTATTACTTGATAGAGAAAAAACTGAGCTTCTGTTAAATTATTGCAGCAAATTGATTACTTACCTGAAACAGTAAATCTGTGTTCCTTATTAAAAGATAATAGAAATACCTTTAAATTTTGACCTATAAATACTTAATCTTATGTGAAATTCCGTAGTTTCTTTTAATTTCAGTAGTTCAAACCTTTTATTGAAAATGAAGAAACGTCACTAATTTTTCAGTTTTCCTCTTTATTTCAATAGAAAGTTTAACTTGAGTCATAATTGCTTCAGTCTTTACTGATGCTCAAGATATTGATGCTTCTATTTTCAAATTAATGGTATTTCTGGAAGTATTAACACTTTTTTTTTTTAATTCTTTGTTTTTTATCAGATTATGACAGTACCAAATGATCCCTATACTTTCCTCTCTTGTGGTGAAGATGGCACTGTAAGATGGTTTGATACTCGAATCAAAACAAGTTGCACAAAGGAAGATTGTAAAGATGTAAGAGTGAAATCTTTTAATAAAGATGACCTAAATGTAGAGCTGTACATCATACAAACATAGGATATGAATTCTGGTAAGGCTTTTAGAAATAATAGATTTCAGGGTCGTTGGTGGAGATGACAACATGTTTCCCAAGAAACAAAAAAAGTTTGGGGAGTCTTTTTTATTTCTACTTTTTTTTTTTAAATTAATTTTAATCTCTCCTTTGTGGGGTTTTTTTTGGGTTTGTTGTTTTTTGTTTTTTTTTTTTGTTATTTTATGAACTTCAGTGTGAGGCTTCAGATATGGCAGAAAGGATTCTAGTTGTAATTGAATCTTTTGGTCTGGTTTACTTTAGTTACTATGAAGTGTAGATTTGGAGGCAAAAAATGAGCCTTGAAAATCATCTCCAGCCATGTGTTCTTGAGCATCCTTTGTCCCTGTGTAAGAACAGGTTTGGTAATGAATTATACCAGATCAAATTAGTCACTGGTATTACTCCCTAGAAGGTAAGGTATTGGTGGTGTCCACTGTGTTTGGGTTTCAGAAACAGTTTTAATAATGAAGAAAAACTGAAGCCAAAGTATGTACTGCTACCCCCAATTAATTTTACTCAGCTCTGTGCATATTTATCAGTTTTAGGGGTTTCTTTCTTTCTTCTTTCTCTATCCAATTGTCTATTAAATCTAAATAGATTAAATCTATTCTAATCCTTTAAATTAATTTATACTGTGTCTACCTATTTGGTACTCTTCTGACTCAACAGTTACCTGTGTTTCCATAGGAAAATCCAAGGTGCGAGCTAGTTTGTAAATCTGTGGTTGTTATGCTTATCTATTCTTAAATGTTTTTTTTCTGTTTCCTGTGGTTTGGTCTGTTTTGTTTGTTTGCTTTTTTAGTTGATCTCATGCTATATTTCACTCTCTGATAGTTTTCCTTCTCTACAGTGGTGTTTCTGTTTGATGTATTTACAATCTATCTTCACAGGGCCAGAACTAGTTTTCTCAAAACCTCATTGACTAAATGTCCTGAAGTAGAAAATAGAATTATACTTCAGATATTCAGAGTCATTATTTGAATGCTGGATTTCTGTTTGTTCCAGGATATTTTAATAAACTGTCGGCGTGCTGCCACTTCTGTTGCTATCTGTCCACCAATCCCATACTATCTTGCTGTGGGTTGTTCTGACAGCTCAGTAAGGATATATGATCGACGAATGCTTGGTACAAGAGCAACAGGTAGGAACCATACCTTACAGTAAGCTTCTATAACCATTTGCAGTGCCAATTTCTGTTCTTTTTTCCCAAAATAGATGATGAATAACTGAAGTGTAATACTGAATGAAATGTAGCTTTCTTGTCTGAGAATTATGCTTTGTAATAATAGAGTAATTTCACTCTAATATTTGTTAATACAGAAATCTTCAAGTAAGTAAACTCAAATCTCTTCATCCATCTTAGAGTACACTGTATATTGAAGGCAGAAAAAGACCTTTCGTAATGTCTCTTCTTTTGTCTTGAAATGTGTGATTCCAGGATTCCAAAAAGCTAGTGACTGCAGCCTGCAGTGGTCCACCTGAATTTTAATGCAGTCCTTATACTCTTGTACTCTGCCATGCTGGAATGTGTTGCTTCTTATGGGAAGGGATCTTATGAACTGAATAGGATCATGGAATATGCTTAGCTTTGCAGTAGTTGTTGCTATATCTAGCATAATTTCACTGAAGAGCTACAAATGCTTCAGATGCTTACCCAGGGATTTTATAAAAAAGTTAGGGGTGACAAGCAAAAATGTGTTGCATAGTTCAAACATATCTCTTTCTTATAATGTATGATCAGTGTCTGGACACATGAATTAATAAACATAGCTGTGCATACACACTCATGCAAGTAATCTGTGTCGCAAAATCTGTCATTTCTTGCAGCGTTTTCCTGTTGATGACTGTGATGGAAGAGAAAGGGACAGTATTATTATGTCTCAAAGGAAAACTAGTATTTAAAAAAACATTTTGGGTAGGAAATTTGTGTCGTAAATTTTCAAAACTTCATATCATTAATTCCTTCCTAATTTGTGTGTACATATAGATATGAATTATTACTGTGTAAATGTTCTTAGCTTCCAGAGTTTCTATTTGTGCTATATTTGGCAGCATCCATACACCATCATTTGATAGGTATGTGACACATGGTTATATTTGTGTGTGTTCTCACTTTTTTAATAATGTACATAGTGTTTGTAAATAAAAATATAAATTATTAGTAAGATCTGTCACTATTCAGATCCAATTTAATGCAGAAGCTACAGGATACTTATCTTTTCCCTGATCATCTTTTGTTGGATGTTAAATAAAGAGTATATTGAAGCTGTTGAAAATTTGCAGTAGTAAATGTGTCATTTCTTTCTCTCTCTCTCTTCTCTCCCTTCCCCCCCTCCCTTTATTTATTTTTTTTAATACAGGGAATTATGCTGGTAGGGGCACTGTTGGAATGGTGGCACGTTTTGTTCCTCCTCATCTCAATAACAAATCCTGCAGAGTAACATCTCTATGCTATAGCGAAGATGGACAAGAGATCCTTGTTAGTTACTCTTCGGATTACATATACTTGTTTGATCCCAAGGATGACACAGCACGAGAACTTAAAGTTCCTTCTGCTGAAGAGAGACGGGAAGAGGCAAGTGATTAAGATGACCTGTTTTCATGTTTTATATTTTTTTTCTCGTGGCACACTTTGTACTTCCCTTTAAATTAATCTTCAGTTCATATTGCTGTTCATAGACGGTGATGTGACAGGTAGATTGTGTTACAAAAGTTGCATGTTTACAATATATTTATTTATATATTTACAGTATTTTATCACTTGGGTTTCGTTTCTTTTCTGATTTCCCTCTCCTAAAGATAAGGCCATCTATGTGAACTTCAGGTTATAAAACCAGCAAGGGTGGCAGGTCACTCCGAGGTGTATTCTCTGTTATTTTCCATGACACCAAAAGCATATTCCTTGAAATAAATACTCTTTGCTGAGAGTTGTCATTTAATGACAGAGATGAGGGGGTACAGAATGTTTAGATTGAGGAGGTAAGCCACTGCCACTGAGCAATATTAAAAAAGGCCTGTTACTAGCAATGACCATCCTGTATTTACTGGGCCATTAGGAGAAATAATGTTGATCAGAAGGAGGTGTAGATTCATAGGACTGAGGACTAATGTCCTCAGTGAGTTACACCATTAACTCACTGGGGCAGGAGAAAGCAAAGAGGAACCCAGAAAATTGTGATGTACAAATGGTTCTCCACTTCTCCCTTTTTTCTATGTAATGTTAATCTGATGTGAAGTAATTTAGTGGAGAATTGACTGCTCGGTTACTGTAGAGAGAAGACCGTGACCACCTGTTAATAACACATCCTATACATTTTTTTATTTTGTAGGCACAGAATATGTTCTGTAATCTCTTCTTGCTGGATGATTTCCCTTAAATGCTATTTTATTTTCAGCCTGGCTTTAAGTTCTGTAGCAGTAGAAGGAATGTAAAGCTTTCTTCCTGAATCTGCTGGCTTCTGAAAGTTAACACTTTAATGTGATTTCACCACAAGGGTTTTGCATTTAATTTAAAATTTTCAGCACAACTGTTCACCTTTTTTGTTTTTTTTTCTCTCTCTTTTTTTCTTCTTCTTTTTTAAGCCAGAAACATCCAGCCAATACACTTAATTTCAAGCTCTGAGCTGCCTTTCTGAATATTCAAAGCACTAGCTGTTTCTCTTCAAGTTGCAGAAAGTAATACTACTTACGTAGTATTTGTTTTATACTTCTTGCTGCAAAAAACTCTGTTATAAAAAAACCCCACAGGTTAAAAATAAACTGAAGTTTATTTTCAAAAAAATTCTTTTGTTTTGTTAATGTCTACTTGTTTCTTTCCTTTTGTTTAATACCAAATCCATATTCCATGAAACTGAAGCTTCATTTTTAACATGAAGAGACTTTAATTATTATTGCTCACAATGGAAAACCTCAACATAGTAAAGTTAGTATTGCATAAAATAAAAGCTATGTTAGTTTTGAGGGTCATTGGGTTAGACTGTTGAACTGTGTAGCTGAAACTCTTGCATTCTGTTGATATCGTGTTGTGCTTATTCATAGTTTATCTGAACAGACAGCTGTGACAGATACAAATTTATGTAACTTAAGAAAATGGAGATGCTGCACTTAACTTAGACTTAAAATTCTGTACTGTCCAACATAAATAGCTTTGTAATGCTTTTCTTGTTCCTACGTTTCCTCTCCCCACCCTCCACCTTTTTTTCTCCTAGTTACGGCAACCTCCTGTTAAACGCTTGCGGCTAAGAGGGGATTGGTCAGACACTGGACCAAGAGCAAGGCCCGAGAGTGAGCGAGAAAGAGATGGTAAAGTGTTTGCAGTTAGAGGGGAGGGTGTTACCTCTGCTTGTGGGTTTTGTTTTGCTTGGGTTTTTGTTGTTTTTGTTTGGTTGGGGTTTTATTCTTCCATTCTTAAGTATTTCTGAAATACGCAAGTTCTTCAGATTAAACTGTCCGTGTTTTAAGAATCAGAAAGGTCTTAAAATTATTTATTTATTTTTTTTTAGAATTTAACCCAGAACTGCTATTCTGCAGTGATTTTTAAAAATGTCGAAGTTGAAAATATTCTTACCAGAAAAATTATGTTGCTGCAGTTTGGCTGATGTAAATCAAGAGGAGCTTACTTTATTGTCATTGGTCATGTAGTAACACAAATACGTATTTCTCTTTTTGTAGTGAAGACTCATGCAATCAAAGTTACAAATGAAATGCTCTGTAATGGTTACATTAGGTGTCTGGAATTCAAAACAATAGGATTCTAGTATCTTTCACTTTTTAATAAAATATGTGTAGTAACTAATTTTTATACTTATCATTTCATGTTTGTAATATAGTACTCAATTACTTGAGATTTTAGTAGATAGAGCATTTCCAAAGCTATACTTTAGTGTCAGAAAATGAGATACCAAAGCAGGGCAGAGGATGCTTTGTCACTTACCTTGCTCTTCATCTAATGCTGTGTTTCTGTTTAAATCTGACAGCTGTACTTGTTCTAGTTCCCTTTTCTGCCTACCATTGCCCTTTCTGGATTTTCTGTGTTGCTTTTGTCGTCTTCCTGATCCCCAAACTAGAAGCGTCTAGCTGTATCAGACTAATGGTCCATGTAGAGCAGGTTCTGTATCTGACACAGACAATAGGAGATGCTGTTTAAGGAGAGAACATGAACCTGTCTTCTTATCTTAGACTCTTGTCTTTGTTGCTCCTCCAGTATTCAAAATTACCGGATTAGTAACTTTAGAGGGTATATTCCTACCTGTTCCTTTAGAATGTGCATATGGTTCTATTGCCTGCGAGTTTCTGTAATCCGTTTTTGAACCTGTTGGTAACATTACTCATGGCAAAAAAATCCAGAAGTTCACCCGCTGTATAAAGGAATACTTTCTTTGCTCTCTTTTAAACTGCTTTCTTAGTTTCATAATTTCTCCATGTGCCTTTTTATCCTAATGTCACAGGATTTGATTATTAACAGTTTTACATTGTGCTTACTTGATGCTTTCATTCCAGACACCGTATTTGTATACCTCCTCATATTAGGCAGTCTTTAGCTATCAGTTTTGTTGCAGGTTTTTCCCATCAAAATTAGTCGTGGCTTTGCCTTTGGACAAAGTTGCTTTTGTTAAATTTTGTAAAAAAAATTCTTCACCCAGGGTTTCTGGCATGATTCTTAGGAAAATAATCAAGTGATACAGGAATAGGAACAGCTTGAGCTGGGTGCCTCTGAGGAGAGAGCCAGAATAGAGGAATTCCTGGGGGGTTGTACCCTTACATGCTGTGCACCTGACCATCACAAGCTGTTTGCGTGCCTTGGCACTTGTCTCTTGATCCAGTGGTGAATTTTGGTCTGGGGTCTCCTCACCCATCATTAGATTCTTTTGTGTTCTTGAGGCCGGCTGTAAGTTCCTTCTTATCCCCGTTTGTTGCTCCTTGCAACTCCTTTATCTTCCAGTTTGCACTAGTCTTAAGGCCTTTGTTTACATAACTAAGCACAGGTTATAAATTAAGTTCAGCTTTATCTAGTTGGGAATTAGCTGCTTGCAGCATAAGGCTCCAGCAACTTCAGCTTCCCATGCTAAGTGACTACCTAATGCTAAACAAAACTACCCAGTCAAAAAACTCAGTTAAAGGAATTCAGCTAATTAAACTCAATTCACAACACTTCATCTAAATTCTTTCTCAGAAAAATATCTTTAGTGTCTTTCTAGCTGTCATTTCCCCATAATATCAAATAAAGCTGCTGGGGAAAAGGACCCCTCCAATGTAGACATTGTCTAGATTTTTGTTTTCTCAAAGCAAAGATTCGGTATCTTTACTGTGCATTATTTGATACAACGCTGTAGTGACTGAGAGATAATAGCTTTATTGCATTAATTAGGCATGTGGTGTTGACCAGTGACTTATTTTTCTGTTCATTGTCCACTCTTCCCATCATTAACCACCTTTTGTCTATTTCCTTCAGCTGTTGCATTTTATTTTTGTGTGTGTGTTCTGAGCTTCCGAGGTTAGAGACTTGCAGTGGGAAAATGTGGATAGACAACGGCATTGGGGTCAGAGACATTGTCTGGGACAGGTGATGGTGGTGTGTTCCCCTTCCCTTTTCCATTCCCAACAATACCTTTTAAACTCAAGCAAATAATCTAAAAGCAAGGTCTAGTGATGATATATTAAAGCTATATCCTAGCAGTGAAGATTATATGGTCCTGAAAGATAATCAGTTGCTCCAGATATTTGATTAATCTTTCAGCTTTTATAACATCCGTGTGGGTAGAAGCACTGATCGTTGAGAGGCATATTTCCACTGTACATGTTCTTCCCAAGTACATTCCAGAACCTTTCAGTGTTAGCTTTTGTATGCAGGATATTAAATTTTTTTTCACATCTGTATTTTGATAAGTAATTGTACTTCACAGGGATTCTGTTTCCTAAGGTCTTCAATTTCAAAACTTTTCCAAAAGTTGCTTAAACACCATCTAGTTCCAAAGTGGTTAAGGGGGGTGAGCAGAAGCTCTTACTTGAGTATGTGTGGAATGGTCTGGTCCAGTCCAGAGGAATAGTCTTCTATTGGAAAAGGCCAATGTGTTAAAAACAACCCCAAACCAAAGAACCTCACCAAAGCACCACATTTCACAGAATACAAAAAGCACTTAAAGATTAAATATTCTATTTCAGCTCTTTACAAATGGAATTTTTCCTATAGTCTCTCTTGGAACAAGTGTTGTTTCGTATGTAATAAAGTATAAAATGAGAATAAAATGGTTTGAGTTATGTCGAAAGTATGTCAAAGATTTTGCTGCTTGAGAGTCTTTTGAAATCCTAAGATTAGATCCAAAAGGTGAAAATTAAAAACCCTAAAAGAGCACTGCTATTGTATTAAATTGTGCTTATAAGGAAAATCTTAAGTCATGAAGAAGCCTTTTGGAAATATTAAAAACCTGCTAATTTTATGTTAGTCTTTTTGCTCTTTCATTGTTTAACGATAAGAGTGGTTATTTTATAATTAGCTGGAAAAAACATAAAAATCTAGGCTTTCTTACTTAACCAGCATTTAAAACTGAATGACATAAATTTCACAATGTCATGTGTACAAGAGCTCCAGGTAATTGTATAATATAAAAGGAGGACGGAGTGTTGGTTTTTATGTGGTGCTTTACTCAGCTGCCAATTCTTGGTGGACTGTTCTGGTGAAAAAAGGAGATGATTCAGGGAGTTATAAGTTGCAGTGCAGGGGTTTTTTTTAATAGAAGAAAAAAGAAGGGGGAAAGTGAACGCTTTTGTAAACTTGTAGATAAAACTTCAGTATTACTTGTTTTGCAGGGGAGCAAAGTCCTAATGTCTCCCTAATGCAGAGGATGTCAGACATGCTGTCAAGATGGTTTGAAGAAGCTAGTGAAGTTGCACAGAGCAATCGAGGAAGAGGAAGATCACGGTCCAGAGGTGATTTCCTTCTTTTCAAGAATACTAATTACAACAGAAAGTATGCCTATACTGGATGTACAGTCCAGGAATGTCAGCCTCTGTGAAGTGTAAACTAAAAAATATGTAGTGCACTCTGAAGAACTGAGCACGCTTTTTCACCATATGAATAGTAATGCAAAGGGATCTTTAGAGGCAAAGTAAGTTTACCTTTGGGCTCTTTATTTTCTTGGCTTTTTTTATTTTATTTTTAATCAAAGGTGGGACTAATCGGACAGATGCTCCTGCTACTAATAACGTGCCACCTACTACAGAATCAGAAACTGCAATGGAAGTAGATGGTTCTGAACCACTTCCATCATCTTCCTCTTCTACAATGTCAGCCCAAGCTCCTTCAACATCATCTTCAGCAGAAAGTCCCCCTTCAACTTCATTATTGTCCTCTCCTGATAATGAACAAAGGCCTTCTTTAGGGGCCTCAGCTCAACCTGTGCTCCATCAGTCTGGTGAGAAGAAATCTATCTTGTCATTGTTTATGGAAAATGCTTTCAGTGAGAAACAATTTTATTTTAGTAATTTATTTTGGGTAATTGATCTCAATCTGTTTTCTTCCTCCCACATGCTTAGTAAGTCCAGGTATTTTATAATTACCAAGTGACTGCAACTGTGGTTTAAAGAAAGAGCAGAACCTCCAACTGTGTACATTTGTTTGAAGAAAGAATCCCAAAGGGGATAACCAGTATTGTCTTTTGAAGTAGAAATAAGAAAATATTGCATGATTTTTCTAAACTTACTGTTCTTGGAGTATATGTCATGGAGTATAAGTAGCATCATGGCTTCTTCACGGCTGTAGCAGCATCAGTGCAATGAATAGCAGAACCTATGCCTGTTGTAATCAGAGGGGAAAAAAAAGGTAGAGAATGTCTCCTTCAGTAGGAATCTATGTCCTCATTATTTCAGAGTCAGCAATGGTATTTTTTAGCTTCTCAAAAGTATCTGGATAGACAGGGATCACCTTACATGACATTCCATTATTGCTTAATAAATTGTACTACATACTGATTTTTAAGTTTGTGTATCTTGAAGAAACTCACCTCAGTTCAATACAATTACATTCTTATTGTGGGGAAAAAGAAGAAAGTGTATTCCATTGTTAATGTCAGAAACTTACTTGGGTAGTAAAAGAGCGCCTTACGCTTTGACTTGCCCTTTTCCATCTCTGTTCAGTAAAAGATGCCATGCCCTTTAGAGTTAAGTATTTGCACAAAAGTTTATTTTTACTTAAGTAACTTTCTAGGCCTCACGCTTGAGGTGGAAAGGCTCATGCGATCTGATTATTTTAAAATCCAGTGATGTTTTCATACATTCACCTTTTGTCTTGTACCAATTCTGTTGGGGAAAAAAAGATAAGAATCAAGGTCTTTATCATTGTAAAAGGCCCTAAATTGGATGTTCTGGAGTAAAGGAGAGATGGAGATTTCCCAAGGAGATTTGCCACATTCAGTGTACTGTGGCTGCTGCAGCCAAAATCTCTGGGACAGGTGAGAAATAATTAGGTATCTGGTATTTGAAAGATACGGAATCTAAAGACATCAGATGCAATTCCTTATATGTATCATTCTCACCCTTTCAAATCTTACCTGAGTTCGATACTTGTTTAGAAGAAATATACAGTGAGCAGAAGCATGGTAATACACACAGTCTGGATACTACTTCTAGAATAAGTGAATGCAAAAAAAATTATTAAGTAGCATAGGCTTTTAATCACCTATGTTTTTGTTAGTATTGGGGTCAGCTTGCCGCAATCTCAAGTTTTTCACAATGCACACAGGGGATCTACTGTAATTCAGTGCAATACAAATTAGCTGTCACAATCTTGGGTGCAAAGGGATAAACACCAAAGAACACACATGCCATGGTTAATCTTGACTTTTTTTTAATTATATGGTATGTTCTGGAGCTTACACTGGCCAGAAGAGTGTGTCCCATAGAAAAATATGCTTCAAGCTATGTCTTTGAAAGTGTGTGGGTTGCATAATGATAACTCACAAGAGAGCATTTCTGGAATTATGATGCATTTTCTATCCTGCATTTTAAGAAATGCAGACCAGAAAACATGTTTTATTCTTTGTCTCTGAATCTGTCTGAATTTCTAAGTAAAAGTTTATTCTGCTAGCATGAAGTTGAAATTGTTATTTCTTAATCCTGCTCTTCTCTAAGCGCATTTCCTCT